GAAAGGCAGTGATTTTCATTGGTAAATAATAACTCCTTAATCTCAGCAGGCCTTGCATCAGCCTGTATCGTACCAGTGAACTTTCCCTCCTCAGAACCAGGCAGTGCCTTTAAAAATAAAGACCCTCACTCCTGCACACTGGGTGGCAAACTGTACCCTAGCTGTAAGAGAAACATGGCAAAACCACAATACCTTATGAGAATCAAAAAGTTAAAACTATGAACTTTGCTTACAGTTTATACTCTAGCAGAGTAAAATAAAGCTAAGTTCACAGAGCGAATCAGATTCTCGGTGTATTTTAAATTACAGAGAAGCTATAGAGCTGTGTTTTATTTACACCTACGAATAAAAGACATTTTTAGTTCTGTTTGAAGAAAATACAAACCATTTGTGCCTTAAAAAAATATGGAAACATTAACAATGCTGTTATGAGAGCTTCCTACACGTGCAAAAATCACTGCAAATTACTGTGCTCATGCTCATCCTAACTTCTGTGCATTTGCTTGCATTTTCTTAATTGCTCAGTAAAAACAAAGCCACATCCAAGAGGATACTTCTGTTGATCACACACAGTGCAGGCTGACACATACAAAGCTGAGCAGCAATTTCCATGTACAACAGTCCCGATTTCCCTTTCTGTGAACAGATGCAGCTAGGTCACCCTGGAAGTGATTAAAAGCAAGACGTAAAGTTTAGTCCTAAAAACCCCCAAATCTGTCTGGCTACAGGACCCTGTGCACACAACAGGTCACACAGGCTGAGGATCCGAGCGCTTGGCAAGGCTGTGCCGCGCGCAGCCGAAGCCGAGCTGTCATTTTCTATGGACGCGGAGCGGAGGGAGGACCAAGCCCAAGTCAGCTGTATTCAGAGCAGCCCAACGGCGCTGTCTGTGAGCGGTGCCCACAAATTGTCAGGCTGAACCCAAGGCATCCTGTGCGCCCCGCCCCACCAGAAGCCGAGCTGTCATTTTCTATGGACGCGGAGCGGAGGGAGGACCCAGCTCACGCCAGCTGTATTCAGAGCAGCCCAACGGCGCTGTCTGTGAGCGGTGCCCACAAATTGTCAGGCTGAACCCAAGGCATCCTGATACTAGAGCGAGTCCTGGCACAAGCCTCCCGACACAGGGAAAGCCCACCACGGCGGTATTTAGCGACCTCTGCTTTAGAAAGCCCAACAAATTAATACGGAAACAGAATTCTGCAGGGTGATGCAGTTGTCCAGTCGCACAGGGCAATTCACAACCCGAACACAGCTCTTCTTTCTGCAAAAACAAACCGTGAAGGAAAGGCTCTGTGCTGCCTTGCCTCCCCTTGCTGTCCGCGTGACAAATAGCACATACCCCCATAAAAACAGTAACGCAAATATGTCCAAATATTGCCTGAGAGCCCCTTTTAAAATCACAGGGACCTATTCTGGTAACAATCACATGGTTTTCCTACTGAAGAATCCCAAACCACTTTGTACTTGTATCACATCCAAGAGAACAGACTTCAGTGAACACGGAGAAGTTAGATCAACCGAGGCTTGCTGGGCTTGCCTGAGATGGCTAGGAGCTCAAAATCTTGCCAACGTCGCGTGACAATAAATGCCTGCCTTTGCTGGAACCCCCATCGCATGCTAGGAACTCGTTTTAAAGCTTGAGTTACTACCTGCCATTGTTCTGAAGTCATACATCCTCAATCATCGCATTTATAAGGTATGTCACAAATATTGGTATTAATTGAAAATGGTTGTTCTTGAAAGATAATTTCATTGATAAAAGACATTATTATAATCTTATCAGTGACAACAAACCAGCTGCTATTTCCCTGTATCGCTCATTCGAAAAATAAGCTGTGGGGTAGACTCAGTGCCCTGAGAAAGAAAAAATTTCATTTAAAACAATCCCAAAGCAGCCAGGAACTAAGATCACTATTAAAAGCAAAACCAAACAACCGACCAGCTCAGCCACAAGTAGTCGGGGTTTTTAAGTTTATTGCTGACTCTCTACAAAGGCTCAGGGAAGCCAGCTCTTGAAACTGCCGTAGCTTCTCCTCCCCGAGGGAGCTGACAGCGCGTGAATTTTTAGCCTGCAGATAAAAGCAGTTTCGCCAACACGAACAAAATATGTACATTCTCCGCTGCACACGCTCAGGCACGGCCACGGCTTAGCGCCCCAGCTACGCCGAGCGTTCAGCGCCTGGCAGCCGGGTCAATGCACAGGCTCTGACGTGCGTCACGCCGTCGTTAATCATATCTGCTCTGCGCTTCCTCAGCCCTAATCTGGGCGCCGGAGCGCAGCCGGCAGCTCCAGCAGCCGCGCAGCCAGCCTGCGTGCTGGGAGGCTCGCCGAGCACCGCTGCTCCCCTTCGCTTGAGCAAATAGTTTTCAAGGCTCCCCGCTTCGGCCGGGCTGCACGCTGCCTGCCAGGCAACACGCCGCGGCTGACACCGGTCACGGTACACACCTAATGGCCTGACCTCCTTTCCCTGCTAATTGCATTACACAGCCAGCTGGCTCCAGAGAGGAGTCGTCTGTTTGACTGAAGAATTTCTGCTTTTGGGGAGGCACGGCTGCTACTTTTGCTAAGTAACAGTGGGGCCTGACATCCCCATTGTCTGGCTGACAGTGTACCCATCCTAAAATCTAAGTTTTATTTGTAAATTAACCGAGAAACTTCCTGCCAGAACAGTGCTGCCTGGAGCCTGATAATGTGCGCCTTTCATTCCCTTTCACTCTTACTGTATCACTGCCAATTTGTTTTTCTGCTGCTCGCCAGCCCTAGGCTATAAAAGCCTTGTAAGACATAAGTGCAATTATAGTCCTGGAGTCAAATGAATTGGACAAATCCAATAGCACAGCTCTGTCCCCACTTTGCAAACCCCTACAGCAGTTAGATTAGCTGCTAAAAATCTAATCTAGCTCCAGCTAACAAATTTCTGCAGCGAAGGAGCAAGAGTTCAGTATGGGGTTGCAACCACATTTCTGAATTGAAAAAGTTCTGCTATGACAATGGAGAAGATGGAATAAATCACTGAGATTTTGCAGCTCATTTTTAAACCGTTAGGCACAATTTATGTAGAACAAGACAGGGGAAGGTAGGATGCTGTTACTATGATTGATTTTCATTCTTGCCACAAGACAGCCGGATAAAAAAAAAAGTTTAGAACCACTGATGCTGAACCCTACAGCAGGAAAACATATCAGCTGAATTTTGATTATTCCACTAGAGAAGACTTCTTTCAGGGCTAAGACTTATTTGGAGAGGGGTTTTGGGTTGGGTTTTGGGGGTTTTTTGGGTTTGTTTTTTTTCTCCTTTCTCCCCCTCCCCAATGAGCAATATATTATGTCAGCACATACGGCAAATAAAGGAATATGAACTGCAAATTACAACTGTACGGCGCAAAAGTAAGGGCCCAAGTTCACCCTCAGTGGAAATGCACTTATTCTCGTGACTTAATACCAGAAATGAATTTATCCTCTTGTGTTCAGTAAAAATAAAGAACCATAATAACATATTTAAGTAAAATTACTGCATCTGCTTAATTCCCCAGCCCACAGAATTTACGGCCTGCTGTACTACTTCCTTGGCCAGCAGGTGGTAAGACCTTCTGTTCAGCTCCGAAGCTTGCGAGCCAAGCACGCTGATTGGTATTGAATTCTTTTTGCCTGTCTGGAGGCAAAATAAGCAGAGAAGAAACCACAGAAATGACACAGATTTCAGAAGTAAGGGGGACGTTAGATCCCAAACAGTATCCGTGCAACCCTATCTGATGGAAGCAGGGAGGAGGCAAGAAATAAAAAAGTTGTGGCCCCCATTGCATCCTGACTGACAACATGATAAAAATTTTCCCCTCCCAGTAACACTGTCCTCTAACACCATTTATAGTTCTGTCGCAGCAAACGTTAAAACTGAGCAGGTACTGAACGACAGCATCGTGATCTGCCTTCCTCCCATGCACCGCTATGAAAATAAGTAATACATACAAAATAATCTTTTTAAACTGGACATTCCGCCCCAATGGTCTGAGGCGAGGACTTAAGGCCAGCACGTGCTAACTGCTCAGTGAGCAAGTGGAAGTATTAAAATACTTATGTGATCCTGAGAGTTGCCACGGTCTCGGAAGCAATGCTGCATTTGCTCACGACTCTGTTAGCCAGGTATTGCAGAATTCACCAGTGCCGCATTGACCAGCGGGGGAAATAAATCCATCTTCCTCTTGTTTAACAGGCACGTGCTCCTGTCCAAGCACACACGCCAGTTGTGGTCTGCACAGGCAAAGGCTGCCAAAATCCACGTGGGACTGCTGCGGACTGAGGAATTTTGTTGCTAAAGCATCAGTGTACTTGCCTTTATGTATTTCAGCACACTGCCTCCACAGCTAAGCTTCACCAGTGAAATCGCAAGAAACAGACACTTTTAGGGTTATGAGAGTTATTGCGGGATGTTTAACGTTGTTTTTAGAACTGGGTTGGTTCTACGCTCATGCTCCAAACACTGGTTTCAAATGCAGGCCAGTTCATCCACCGGCATTTTCAAAGAATTAGGGAACTATCCATCTTCCAGAAATTTTACAGCGCTTCTGAAATGCATCTTGCCTCCACTCTTAGCTGCAGTCTTCTAAAATGCATTAAGAAGTCCATGCTAATTTGCACAGAAATACACGCTTGCTTACAAAAGAGCTGTGACAAATGAAACGAAGCTGTTCTGTGCAGAAGCACAGAACCATGGAAGATTATACGTTAAAAAAGACCTCTGGAAGTCATCGGGTCCAACCCACTGCTTACAGCAGGGCCAGCTCCCGAGGTCCATTAGGTTGCTCAAAGCTTTGTCCTTCTTTACAGGAATACACAGTTTGATCCCTGCAGGGTTCCATTCCTATAGCAGGTTTAAGGGGTTTTTTTTTAAAGTCTTAAGGCAATTACTTTGCGGTATTTTCTGTGGATAATATGTACTGGAGCTGGCCTTGCTTCCTAGCTCTTCAAGGCTTGGAGGCTGGCAACTACTAAATGCTTTTGCTTTTTGTTTCTCACAAAGAATAAATTCTCTTAAAGCAAACATAGGGGAGACAATTAAATAGAATAACCAGACCCTCTCAACGTCTGTGTTAATCCCTAACATGGGTGGGAATTCGGAGAATTAGTAAAATAGACTGTTTGCAGTTAAACTCCATTTTCCTCTCGTGGCAGCTCTGTCAGACTGTGCTCTCTCCTCTCCCAGGTGATGTATTACTCAACAGCGAGGCAGTATTTCACTGCCTTTGCTACGCTTCCATAAAATCCAGGTGCTATGGCTTACAAGGGAAGATTAGACCAAACGGCCACAATTTGTGTAAGAAAAATAAGACTGGGCAAGACACGGTAGCAGTTCTCAAACATAAATAAGCCTGCTGCAAATTGATCTGTTCTCCATATCCATGTGGAATAGGGTAGGAATAAATGGGCTCAAATTGAAGCAAAGAAGATGCTACAAGAAATTTTCTCATGGCACAAAAAGTGGAGCACAGGAATAGGTTGCCTAGGGAAACCGTAAAGCATTCATCACTGGAGTTTTTAACTGGCAGCTAGATAAATACTGGCCAGGAACAATACAAACAGACAGTCCTACCTCGGTACAGTGATAGAGACTATACAGCCTCTTACTACGGACCACAGCCCTACTTCTCTACCCTAAAGCACTCAGGTGACATTTTTTTCCATAGCCATGTAAATCCACTAATGCGAAGATAATGAGTTGCATACATAAACAAAACCATGTAATTTTGTTGACTTTTTTTTTTTAATGACAGATATCAGAATAAAAAAGAAAGGATCTAGCTTTACTATTAAATGCTGGGCAAGTTTTCAGGACTGGTAATCAGAAATTCCACCTTTTTATTTCGAGGAAAAGCACGTTATTTCGAAACTAACTGGACAACACATAGATCACCCAGTGACACAGTTATAGATATTTTCGGAGCACAACAGCATCACATGGTAGACTGGGTGGCTGTAGTAGCATTATTAACATGCATTAAAAACCTAGGTGGGACAAGTTGCCAATCCCAATTAAAAAGGCAAAGATTCAGCACGCACCTAAAATCATCTTTGACTCTCAACAGCAGTTGGCAAGCACCAAAATTTCAAATCGGTCCTTGTTAGGAAAGACAAATGATTATGCACTCATACCAACAAAATTTTGGGCTGGGTTCTGGCTATCTTTGAAGCAGAGTCTGCTTGCAGAATTGCGAATAACTGGATAATGGCTTTAAATATCAGCTGGCTGCTTTTGGTACTATGCTTGTCACTTCTCTTTCACTTCTTTTCTGTTACACGCTGGACGATTTATCTGTAAGGTTTTATTATGCTGCATTTGGTTGTTTTGTTCTACCAAACTACAGCAGTTTTGGCAGGCAGACAACATACAAATGAAATTATTGCTAATATTATTACTAATGGTGGTATTTGAGGCTACCATGGCAATGTTAATTGTGTTTCAGAATCCAGAATTTAGATGCCATTTAATTCAGATAATCTAGCTGCAGAGCACCATGTGGCACAGCAAGGGTGGCCTGCTAGGACCAGTTAGCACAGTCTGGTTTCAGTCTAAACTTTAAATGGAAGCATTTGAAGACTACAAACAACGTTTTGAAACACGCAGCAAACTATTTACCTTTTTGGTCAGTGAATCGTCTGAATCTGACGGCATCCTTGTAGACACATGAAAAATGATTTCCACGGTAGAGGTAGCGTAATAGGGTGCCGTTTGTCCTGTGCTGCCGTTGCGCTGCAGGCCGCCCATAAACCCACCGTGTGTTGAGAGATCAACCTGATCGATCGAAAGTCATTGTTAGAAGAAATTTGACAAGACTGATGAATAATCAGTATCTATTTACATATCAAGACTTGGTGAATTTACCGCTCTAGCGTTCTGTAGCCATCCCAGAGAAAGGGAAGGCTTCCCCTATGGGTCTGTGATCTTTGCATTAGATCTGTCTGTTTCCCATTCCCGTATCTGACATTTACTAAAAGTAAACATCCCTTCACCGGGTACCCAGTCATTATCTACACGGCTGTTCTACCCTCCTTCCAGCAAACAACAGCAAGGAAGCACAAGCACTCTGTCACGCGCAGCTGCTCTAAGGGCCGTGCACTGCTCAGCGAGCCCACTCTAAGCATGCACAGCGAGAAACAATTATAAAGTGCAGAGAAAATACAAACATTCAGAAAAACTACAAAAGCAGCTGAAGATTTCCACAAAAAGAAAAACCTTAGAAGAAATAATTCTAGGAGATTACTCAGAAGAAATGCCTCTCTGAAGACAAGCCTGTGTCCAAAAGCTCGTTTGTTTTCCCAGCGGCATCAGCCTAACCGAGGACGCTACCTCTCCCTGTAGACTTTACGTCACTTAAATCCTTAAACATGAAATGCAGCTACCATGCATTTCCAACACACATCAATGTTTGTGCCATTTAGGTTATGATACATCAATTCAACAATGCAAACTGAACCCAAATGGTTTTGTCCTTCATAAAGCAGTCGTGGTTGGGTAAGCGGTCTGACCACGCGAAGAGCTAAAAGGAGCTAAAACTGAGGTGAAATTATGCTATAGCTCTTAATGATGCAGAAAGCAGAAGCGTCCACTGCAGCACCACCTGTCCATCAGCAGGATGAAGCAGGAGGAATGTTCATCCAGAAGCAGCATGTGAATTTACAGAATTCTGCTAGAAAGGTGATCTTTTAAGTACTGCTAGATATTAGTGTGTGTTAAAATTTATCTCTTTTTTTTTTTTTTTTTTGAGAATTAAAGATACGCAGTGATACAAGCAGTGTGTTTTCCATTTACCTATTTTAACTGGCTTACACTGATTTTTGTAGGTCTTCAGATCAAGTATGTTAGCTTGCCTAAATTTATGACTATTACCTCCCAGCCCAGTCCAGCCACAAAATCTTCATAGGCCTGGCTTCCCCTTGCATTGGACAGTATTGAGCACTTGTCCTCCTGTCCTTCTGCAATGTAGAACACTGCAATCTTGTGAGTTTCACGGCTGTAATTAGATATAAAAAGGAATGAACGTTAAAGAAGTTTTAGCTCAAAATGACTTTTTAGATCCCCTGCCCTCAAAAGCTATGAACAGGTGACCAGGTTTACCTCTACAGGTCCACTTCTTTTATGCACACAAAGACATCTCTCGATTTCAGTTGCAGAAATATATTTGCACCATTTTTTCCCCCCATGACCACACTGCAGAGGCTCCACAGTTGAGAGAGCGGAGCAGAGTCTATTCCTTCCGTGTATCAGCAAAAGAACTGATGACCAAGTCCCAATTACAGGGTTAATCGCTTACATCTGTGCAACCTTGCCAGACAGCGAATTGCACAGGTGCTAATGGGAGCATAATTTGACCTACAGAATTTTAATTATAGGGTGATGATATATGAGAAAGAAAAAAACATTACTGACTTTCAGATGCTGGTTGAGTTTTACAAGGCTGACGGCGACAGTTGGCTGCTTTGAAAACAAGCTGAGTGGATTTGTATGAGAATTGTTGGGATAAAAGAAAATCAGAACTCCAGTGCTGCAGACATTTTTCAAATAGCTATATGTCAAGTAATGGAAAATAAAATGCTGTTCTGCCACTACCTGGCTGTAGAGCAGTTGTATGGAGATTACCCCTTAAAATACTGCTCGACAGAGGGACCAGCCTGCAGAAAACAGTCCTTGGTGTGAGTTGAGCCAAGGCCGCACAAAATTTTGGAACTTCTTCCCTCCCCTCCCAGCTAAAGAAAACAGGAACTGGGTTGCTATGTCTTCTTATTTGCTGCTGACTTTGCATTCTACCTATATAGCACACCAGCAAAAATAGCTTGTCCATTCAGGCTACAGAACTCTTCAGAAACAAGCAATCCATTTTCCATATGAATATTTCTATTGCTGGCACATGCAGTTTTAATGAATTCTTGGGTTTGGTGACGTACTTATTCTTTCTTTGGAAATGCTAACCTTATCGACGGTGTGTTTAGTAAACATTACCTACCACTGGCGGGAATCCAGATTTTTCAGTTCTCGCAGTAATTTTGAGTTTTTCTTAAGAAGATGAAAGCTTTTTCTATAAATATATAAGAAAAGAAAGATTTGAAGGAAAACGCAACACAGTACACACACAGTATCTTCACATTCAAGTACCTAAGAGAAAGGAATCAAATCAGCATGGCTCAAATTTTTTTTACTATTATGAACAATGTGCAGATGTCTATTTAAAATAATCACTGAAGCAGGCATACGTAACAGTTCAAAGGTATGCTCTGACTACCACCCAGCTGTGTAATTCTCACTCTCTTAAGCTTGTACATGTTTGGGGGTAGAAGTGAGAAGAGTAAGAGTATCGTAAACATGTTCTGAATCCTCTCTTCCTACCTTCTGTCCCAGGAGTTCATTCCCAAGTCATTTTTTTTTTGACGGGCCACCTTCATACTGAAGTCCGAGCTGCATTTAAGTATATACTCTTTTTCCTGGACGCTCTGCCTCATCAGGGCTTCAGTGATTGCATTCTCTTGGTCGCAGCTCACACCAAAGGGTGGCGGCGATGGCTCATTCAGCTTTCGCTGGGGATGCAAGAGGCATTCAGGACTGGTGTTACCAATCTTTTCCAGCAACTGGTCGAGCGCATCTTCTCCTTCTTCTACCTGAGAAACGTCCTTCTGGGAAATGAAGTGGTGCTCAGGGTTGCCTGAGATGACAAACGCGTTCGTTGCGCTCTGCCGCGGAAGGCAGCCTTCCAGAGGTCCATACAGTATCCTGCCATCCCAAGAGTACTTCCCTGAGATATCTCTGACAATTACCCTTACATCCGAGGGGGTTGCTGTAGGTTCAGTGCCTGTCTTCTTCTCTGAGGGGATTTGGAGGTAAGATATAAGAGTGCTGTCATTAAACACGAAGAGCTGCAGGTTGGGACTCCGGAAGACTTCTGAGGACAGCTCAGAGGACTCCACGTAGGAGTTGTCATGGTTCTCACTAAGGAGACTGTGGAGAACGGCAGGGCCTCCGCTGAGCGGGTAGTGGCTCAGGTGATTCACCAGGTGAGTCATAACCATCCGTGCTGTTAGAGGTATCAATTCTAAGTTTCTCCTCCTTTTTTCTAAAACAATCAATGAAAAGATACTAGATCAGTAAGAGCAGCAAGAGGTAGTTAGACACAGCATCTGCAAGTTTCTGTCATGTTGCAGAAGCTTGCCTTAGTTGTCCTCCTAATCTTTCCTGTTCAAGAAGCTATTTACAACCGCTTTCCAAGAAATTCTACTTGTCGCACATTTCATTCATTTTATTTTACCGCATGCCCTTTGACTTTTAGCCTACAGTCACCTATGCAGCACCTTCATGTCATTTTCTTTCTCCTGTAATCTTCGTAAAGAGCAACATCAGCAACGAACTCAAACATCCTATTACAGAGGCAACTGAAAGTAATTAAAAAAAAGGGTGCTGCCCAGCTTTCAAGGAATAGTTGCTACGCGCAGTAAGGAGAAGCACGTTCTCAAGGAAGAGATGTGACCTGGGAAGCTTTATTTCCTAGCTGCTGAACACTGGCATGCTGGTCCTCACCACGCTCTGTGAACTCTCTTACCCTCGGCAACAGTGAGCAGGTTGCCCAAATCCGCGGAGGAGTGGCACTGGGCTGGCTCGGAGCTCCTGACATTCCCCAGTGGCAAAAACGGGTCGTAATCGCTGGACGAGAGGTCCGCCAGACTCAGCACGTAATGGCTCTGCTGAGTGTACGTGCTGGAGCCGTTCACACAACAGTGCAGAACCTGCAAGTAGGGAAGCGTGACACTCAAGAAGCGATAAAGCGTACACTACAGTACCCACTTAAACACGTTCAAGGAGGAGTGACCCACCATAAATTTTTATGTTGTGAAAGCCAGGGCATGCTACAAAACCCATCGATGTCCAAATAGAGTCTTTTTAAAATAACACTCTTTGTCAGCACTTATTTTGCGGTTTAAGAGCTCACTTCAGGCCTTATTTTGTATTTTAACAGCACATTTCAAATAATTCAAGTATTTGTGCAAAGATTATTTTCCCTGGGTCACTGTTTTATGCATTTTACCTTTCTCTCTTCACCACCCTCTGTCCGTTATAAATCTCTGATCTTATCTTAGCATTTTACATTCTTAACTCTTCATCTGTATGACTTCTGCCCACACTGCGAGAATTCACGATTTTCTACAGCTTGCTAAACATGCTTCTGTGCCTAACAGAAAGTGTGAAAGGCACCTTTAAACACCTAGACACAATAAATCGCATTCGTTCCTCATACTCACTCTGTAAATGTAGTCCAGCAAAGGAGCTTTGGATGCATGCTGATCTTCGAGGACACCAGCAGACACTGGCTCCAGGAGCATTTTCATGGGCAATGCCATACACCAGTCCAACAAGCAAAGCAGCAGTGAAACGATAAACTAAACAGAAACATGGAACACAGTATTTATGTGTATTCTGTTCAATTCACCCAGACTTACAGGTACAAGTTTCAAAGTTTAAAATACAACTCTGGTTCCAAGCAACTTCATTTAATAACCATCTTGAGCAGCACAAAGAATAGAGATGACTCTTCTCAGCGACGTACCTTTTTATCTGCTTCCACAGAGGAGTATTCAGCACTCGGCAAGAGAAATGCAATAGTGGCCACAAGGATCTATATTGAAATAAACAAAATCCCAGAAAGACATTTAGCTTCCTTCGCTATAAAGACAGAGCATGAACTTCATTTGAACAGGGTATGAAAAAGGTTAAATTCCCTTAGGAGTATCCAACGGCCCTTGCAAATCAACGTCCAAGTGAAATGAAAAGTTTTACTGAGCATTTGGAAATAAATCACTACAAATGAGAGCAGTACGCTGGTCCTAGGACTACGGCAAGTACGTCTCCTAATAACAACTGCAGAAGAAAGGAAAAGTTAACAGAGTCACAGTTTGTCACGAACCCTGATTTAGAATCCTGCCAACTACACCAATTTGTCACGAATGAGTGGAATGCACCTCACTCAAAAGAGAAGCAGCAATATGTTTTATTGAGGTCAGTGAATTGGATGGAATTTAACAGAGTTTAACAGGGGTTTGCCAAGGTTCAGTAAGTTTGATGACAAGGTTCACTCTATTAATTACTGCATGGAAGAACCATAGAAAGGCAAACTGAGTTGCACTCGAGTCAGACTGACTGACAGAGAGACCGGGGACGCAGAAGGGGAAGGAGGACCCTCCTGCTGAGTCACGAGGTTCAGAGCGGACCCCCTCGCTCTCTAAACTCCTTCCTCAGAGAGGAGTCGAGGTGCAGCTAGGCCCAAACCTAGTCTCAGACTTGGTCAACGGCTTATGTTTAAGGGACTGTATATGCAAAATTTACCTAATGTTTCATTTTGTGGCTGGCTGGCCACTGTTTACATGGGCTTTTACCCACCCTAGTTTAAATGGTGCTTGCCTAGCTAGATCTAATAGCAACTGGCCAGTCTTCAGTTCCCCAAACTGGGGATCTATTTACTTCCCAATTTAGTCAAGAGATGTCAATGTTCCCATTGACAAAGCCACTGTGCGGCACCTGCCCACATGGCGCAGGAGTCGACATCGATAACTTCTGCTCCATTTGGTGCTGCTAGAACAACTGCCCTTAATTCTCCTACTTGTGCACCACCTTCACCTTTGTCTATTACTTGCTTGCCGGCGGCAATTTCTAATGCGGCAACTTTATATCGCCATTTGCCATTTACCCTGTTTGCTGAGGCATCGGTAAGCCAAATGCCTTCAGTCAGTGTTTTCTCCGCGAGGGGAGGTGCATTGAGAATCAGTGAAGGTTTAAATGGCCGCTTTAGTGCTAATGGGTCCGTGTTTACAGCCATTTGTAATTTTTATTGTAATGTTTATTTCTTCTTCAGTCAGTTGTTTCCCACCAGGCAGGCACACCGTTTCCTGACGGTTGGGTTTTGTGCAGTTCCTTCTGGGGGAGCAGTTCCTTTCAGGACTGTTACTAGCAAATTAAATAGCCCTCTAATTTGAGCAGGTTGCCCCTGGTGTATTTTCTCAGCTTGTTCAACTGCTCGGACTCAAGATAGCTCTGTTCTGTCTCTTTAAATACAGTAGAGTTAAACATTAAAGGTCATTTTGGCCCGCTCGGCCTGGTCTGGAATAGATTGCAGTAAGTACCCTGTTCTGCAGAACCCCATTCTGCTATAATAGGGTCGGGGGGGGTACTGGCCCCAGTGACTGATCTGTCTTTAATTCCTGTATTGGAGTTTTGACTCTTCATGTTTTGGGTTCCGTTCCCACAGTTTTCCCTTTTGTAAGAATGACTACATTGGGTGAGCAATGATAGAAAATCCAGGTGCATGTTTTCTCCGGTACCCTAAAGTATCCACGAGTAGTTGTAATTCTTCCCTAGACTGGGAACTGGGGCATCTGTAACTGTTCTATTTCACTTGGGGGTCTGGTGGGATTGCTGCACTACCTGCACTCCACCAAATACCTAAAAACTTTATTCCTCTACTTGATCCCTGACATTTTTCAGGCGGAATTTCAACTTCTGCTTTATGTAGCGTTTGCCACACTGCTGCTGCTGCCCCCACCTTTTCAGGGGAGGTCCCTCCAATTAGGATATCATCTATGTATTGGTACAGCTTCACATCTCGAGGGAGCGAGACTGTTTGTAAGAATCCAGCAGATGCAGCATGAGCAATTATGGGTGAATGCTCCTATCCCTGCAGGAGCCTGCTAAAGGTGTGTTGTACACCCTCCCAAGTAAAAGCAAATTTCTCGTTATCCTCCTCCTGCAAGGGGACCATAAAGAACCTATCCTTCACACGCAGCGCTGCCACCCGTGCCTGTGCAGCTGCTCGTAACGCGGCTGTTAGAGTTGCAGCACTGGGGATTGCAGCCGCTAGCGGAGCTGTGCTGGCATTTAGGCGCCAATAACCAACTGTCAGATGCCATCTCCCACCCGGCCTTCGGACTGGCCAGACTGGTGAACGGTACGGGGAGTGGGTTCTGGAAATAAATGTGCTGGTTTCCCAAGTCTGCTGTTATTTCAGAAATTCCGTTCCGTGCCGCAGCAGCCATCGGGTATGGCAGTACATTAGTAACCTCTGAATCAGGGAGCGCAGGGGCGGCGCGGTGTACACGCACCGTAGCCTCCCCGTTTTTATTAGGGCTAGGGCTGATATTTGAACTGAGGGACCACACACTGGCAGGTGCCAGGGTCTGCTGTTCGAAACATTGAAACCCAAAATATTTTCATTGTGATCTTCGACGGCAAAACCATCGGGAGCCATAAATTAACTTCCACAGTTTGGCAAATAGCACTTGCTCCATCCTCACTGGTAATTTTAACCCTTTGCCATCCAGGTCATAGCTCAAATAAGGAATTAAGAAAATTTTGCATATGATTTCCATACAAACATTTTAAAGAAACTGACGTACTTGAGTAATTTTTCTGGACAGAGAGGATTCGTACTTCTGAAGCTTTTGCCAATAAGAAACCAGCAGCTGAAGAACATCACAGGCTACTTGAGCCACCAGTTTATTAGAAAACTGGAAGGAAAGACAAGACGATTAAAAGCCAAATAAAATACCCAGATACAATACATTCAGTTTTTCTACATTTTAAATTATTTTGCCTCTATACAAACAATAAAAAATGTTAATGTTGCTGTCACCATTAGGGAACAGCAGGCGTGACATTATCTGTGTTATCTTAATTTGGTCTGCTGTGGAAGGGGTCTTTAGGTACATAATCACATGCTATTTTTGCAGGTATTTTGTATAGGACATCACCTTGGCACATACTGCTCAGCAACTTCACAGGAGCCAGAAGGGTCTGAACCATGGTCACTGAACATAATGAGCTGCTAATTACAAGCAAGGGTTCACAACTGGGAGACATCTTTTTGAAGATGGCCAAGGCCATATCACCACCACTAAGCAAAAAGTCCTGAGCAGTTGTGTGTTAGGCAGCAACCTGTCCATGCTTTCAGAAATGAAGAGACAAATCAGCAGATTGTGCTCCGTATAGCGAGCAACTATGTAAAAAAAATGAAAATACCTTTTTTACATAATGTTTATTGTCTACAGAGACCGTTATACCTTCAGTGTCACGCCTATGACATTGATTGCTTCCTTCACTTGGGGATGGTTTGTGCACTGCGTTAGTTCTTCACATATCCAAACTCCAAGGCCACAAATGGCTATGCACCTTTTTTGAAAGAAAACATGGTGTAGTCAGAAGCTTTTGAAGCATACTGAGAAAAAGGAAAAGAAAGAAAGAAAGGCACAAAGATGCGACCTCTCTTTTCCCTCTCAGGTGACACAACAGGTCACCACCTTCATGGCGTGGAGTGAACCTCATCTCGATAGGGCTAAGGTGAGTTACTCATCCAAACAGGAGTAAACCCCAAGGCAGTAGTAACAACTCGGCTGTACAAGCACCAAAAAATCAGTAGCAAGAAAGACCCTCCCATTTTTTCTTTTACTCAGTACATTACCTTGCAGCTTCACTTGGCTCCTCTGTAGCATTCTTCAATAAAATATTTATGAGGTAGCACTAAAATAACAACATAAATTAGAATAAACATGTTTTCGTACATCCATTTTAAATAAAGTTGTTTAATTTTGACATGGTTACAAGTCAAATAACTTTAATTCTCAGTCTATTCTTCAAGCATTTTTACCACATGCCAATTTTATTTTGTCAAGGGAGAAATACGTACCAATTACAACTCAAACGGACAGGCCCTTGTGGATAAATCTGGTCAAGTTAAAATAATGTACAGACAGCAAGATGGAAATCAATTCATTTTCAGAGTTGATGGGTATTTACTAATGAGTGGTGATCACTTGATAATACAAACTACAGTGTTTAAGTTCTAAGCAAGCCGTGTTTTGAAAAATGTAGTGTATTTTTTAGTACAGAAAAGACACTTAAAATCCAGACTGTTTTAACACACCTCCGATGACTCTCCGAGGCCTGATGAAGAAAGCAAGAACCCTGCAGCCAAGCGTGCTGAGGGTTTTACACTCTCTCTGGCTCTGCCTTCTCAGGCCGTGTTGGGAATTCGGGAGATTCCTCCCCAGTTTTACCTAACCTTGTGCAGCAGATCAGTGTGGTGCCTCAAGCTGACAATCAAAAAGTAACGGAGAGGGCAACCATTTGGACAGGCTTCCCCTGTGAGTGAGGCTCCAGGTCACCTCTGTTGGCTCTTTATGGGACAGCGTGCATGATTTTTTTCCCACCAAGAGTATCACCGCAGAAGTCATTGAATTAAAAACCTTTCCATCCAGCAAAACAATTCATGTTTCGGGGTGTCCCACTGAAATTAGTTCTCAGGGAAAAACATTCACGTTAAGTTGATGGTTCTGTCTAGCAGTGGAATTTTCTTAAAATCTTACTATAATACCAATAAGGCAAAAAATATCTCCCCTTATGCACCCCCCACATCTCTTACAGGACAAGCAAATATACCCAGATACAATGAACGGACACTTTAAATAATACCACCAACATCATTTAATGAATTGACCTGACAGGCATCTGGCTGGAAAACATCGCATTTGATCGTAGCCAGTTCACTCTCCTTGAAAATAAAATGTAATTTGCAGTATCTAAGCATTGTTAATTTTATGGTGCATGTTAAGCAAAGCAATGCTTATCAAATAAGCACATACAATGTGTGCAGTTGTGGGGTTTTGCAGAGAAGGAGGGGTTTATTTTTTAAACAAAAAGCATGCGGTAAAAATGAAGTGACTACATAGTGAAAACACGTTAGGGTACATAAGGGTTTACTAATAAAGTGTGGCTTTACCTTCACGTCTGCTGTTCCTGCAATGATATCACCAGCTTCTGAAATGGGCCGCAAGAGTGGGATTTCTTGGTAGATATTTGGAAAGCAGACAAGAGAACCAAGGATGGTGTGAGCTTCTGAACGGGGAGCCTAACGAAGGGAAAGGAAACAAACCCATTTTCTCCATAAAATAATGGAAGTGGCATGAGCTATGAGGCTAGCGGCTATCACCCCAAGTACCTGATGTGCTGTATTCACAAAGCAACACCGAACGTGTCCCGAGGAACAGGTCCCGGTAGCTTTTCCCTTACAACTAGAGCAAAAGCAGCATTAAAGCAGAAACTTACAGACACTTACTTGCCTGTGCTTTTTGCTGCTCTGTTGCTCTGCTCTTTGTCCGAGGCTGAGCTTCTCCTCCAGCAGGGACTTGGCCCTGCTCCTAAGCCTATTCTGCATTTTTAATACCTCCTCTGTCATTACACAATCCAGCTATCAGCAACTCGGTATCAATAAAAAATACAGAACAATCTAAAGAACAGCTGAGTGAGAGTTTTAAGCGCTAATCCAGCACAACTATTGGCTGATCACGTGACACAAGGGACAGCACAAGGCACTCACACTGACTGTATACATGACAAAAATGCGTAGAGATTCCTACTTCAATAAACCCATCAAAATCAACATGGCATGAGCTATAAATGCATTAACTACTGCTATATAATCTCGCGCAATGTTGAAAACAACACATGCTAAGCTTTATGCTTGCAGGAGAAATGGAAGGTGGTGGTGTGTTGTGTTTTTTTTTTTTCCACAGCAAGTTGAGTTTTTACTTCTTATTAGCGCTTTAAGCTTTGGATCAATGATCAGGCTGAGCAGCTTTTTTAACGAGATGTCAGAAAATTCATGGCTGTAAGCTCTTTGAGGGACGATGGAAAAAGCGTGGCCAGGCTCACCGTTTCAGTCCTTCTGAAATAGGAGGGGGAGGTGCCCCTGAGCAGGGCCACCCGCTCTGCCGCACAAATGTCAAGAGCAGTGGGAAAAGCACTTGGCCAAAACAGACAGAGAGGTCTCCCCCAAACTGGTGTTTCATGCACAAAAAAGCTTTCCTGTTTTTCCCACGATTTCCAGACATTTGCCATTATTTTGGCATCCCATCATAGATTTGCTATTTTACTTGTCCTTCACCAATTTAATAATTTAGAGTCACATTTCTGTTGATATTTAGTACGAAATTGCGTATTACCAGAAAAGTTCCTTGTTTTTAATACATGCTCACTGAAAAACAGCTACTGAGATTCTGAAACCCAAGTCCTGCTTTTAGCGCCCAGGCGTGCTGCAGTATTAGCCAGGATATGATTTCTCACACTTTGGCCTTTTGATGAAACACCTTTGCAACACGAGTATGTCACCTTATCCCACGACTTCACACATCAGCTGCCATGGTATCTGCCCCAAGAGCCCCGTTTCGCATTGCACTAATGAGTCAACACCTGTTAGAGTGGAGACATCCGAACCTCGTTAGCCAGCGCGCGCTCTCCGGGGAGAGACCCCGGGCATCGCCGTGCTCACCTCCAGCATGTCTGTGCTCAGAACCCTGGCCGCCGCGGTGATGAAGTCTCCTATCAGCATCGTAAAGCCAGGTAAGCCCAGGAAGAAAAACCAAGGTGGGCAGTGCTTTATGATGGTATTTAAGATATCCTGAAAGAGAAGGTACCATTTGAGAAGAGATACAAAGAACAGGCAAACAAAAAATCCCCAAACCAAAAGGGAGAGGCTGAGAAGATTTAACTGTGCCATTCACCAGTTCCACAGTAATCGAGGTGGCGATTCACAGAGCCACGCAGCTCCATGTATAACTGATCGTCACGTAACCACCACTGCTTTCCACTGCAGACGCATTTAGTAGGAAAAGTACATTTGGTATCTTGGTAATATTTGTACTCTTAAATTCCTGTTTAAGAAAACCCAGCCAAACACCCACCCACATCTCCTCGTGTCTAAGCATAAAATGGTTCCCCCATTAAATAAGACTTTGGATTCACAACATTCAGACCGTTAATCAATTTAAGATGAAGCATTACACCACTCCGATTCCTAAAATCACATTACTCAAAATTCTGTCACCATAAAACCCATGAGATGACAGAAACGAGCGCCGCCTTTGCCCCAACAGAGCTCAAGGCAACAACTGACAGCGGCTGGCTTGCTGCTGTTGGGCTGCTCCGGCACATACGGCATTTTTTTGCTGTTCTGGACTAGTTGAGAAGTACAGCGATGTCAAATGCAAGAAGTGATCATACACAGCACAGTGACACAGATAAATATATGCTAACTGGATTGTTCTAAGTCGCTCTTCTAAATAATTAAGATAGCAAATACAGATAAGCCTTGGGGAAAAAAAAGAGTTTTGCTGAATTTCTGAAGGAACAGAGGGGGTTTTGTCTGTTTTTAAGAGGTACGTGTAAGACTAGACCACCAGCCACAGCTTTGCTCTCCTCGTTACCCCGTGACACAGGACACATTTCAGATAAGCATTTCAACTTTAATCCTTCCACGTTTCAATTCTTCATAGTCTCTCCAAGTCAGAGCAAAGTTCCTGTATTTGAGTTAAGATTTCCTTCCTACTAGGTTTCAGCAGGTTCAAAATTAGGCACAAGATCTATATAATCCTTACCTGCAACATTCTATTTGCTGAGGAATTAGACAAGGCTATTTCTATATGGAATAGAAAATTATTTTTCGTCTCAATAAAATTTCAAAGAAAAGTTGCAAAGGAAAATTATTTTCAATGTTGATCTTCACTAGGTTTATGACATGTTAAAGAAGGCTTGAACTTAAATTCAGTCCCAGAATGTGTCTATATGCTCAATTCCTACACCAGAAACTAAATCCAACTCACTAAGATGAACTGAGTTAGTAAATTAAGTCCAACTCCTTTCTCTCTGTATGAAGATATGCCTTAACTACACCAGTATTTTCTCACAGCACGGCTAAACACCTGGACAGAACCCATTTGGTGTTCTGCGAAGTATTTACAGCAGGAACACCCTGTGAAATAACTGTGTTGTGTCTGTTACATCAATAGTGCTAGTTTTTAACATAGTAGCAAATAATGCTTTCACTTTCCGATGAATAAGCTAAAATGCCACTCCAGTTAATGTTTAAACTAGTTTTAATCACTTCCTTTGATACATTTTAAAGTCAATATCAGTCAATGCAAACATTCAAAAAGAGCAGATGGATGCAGCAGCTCATAAAGTGGGTGGCAAACTCGCACACAGAGCAGAACAAAAGACTCACCTTTTTATAATTAAGGGTCTGATTAATGCACCAGGCTCCTCACAACACAACACACCTGTAATTACCAACGGAGCCAGGTACTGTGATGTGTTTGGTCTCTGAATAATTGGGCATCACGCTGTAGAGCAGCAGATGGGAGTCCGCTCCTGTTGACATATGCCACAATAAAAGAGCCCGTGCTAACCTGGCCTGGAAGGTAACAGAACGTAGGAAGTACAAAGACCTGCCACAAACAACTGCGTTAACTCCTGTCCTCGCTCCATCAATCCCATCTGTTAAATGCCACTGTAACGATCACCCGGCTTCATTGACCCCAAACTGTAGAGGCTGTATAGAACACTGAGAAAACGAGGGTAAGATGGAAACTGCAAACCTGTTATATTTATATATTAATACCGGCGAGTTTACAGCACAGCATAACCAACACAACTTCAACACAAGCTGTGACGACACACAGTCCAAAACACTGTCGGAATGTGACTGCGTGGATCTACTTGCTGTTCATGAGATGTACCACTACTAAAAAAAAAAAAAAAAAAAAAAAAAGATTTTTCCTAGTAAGAAACCTTTGAAAATTTGACTTTGAAAATTTACCTTTGAAAAGCTAATGCAACAATCCTCCATTTCTCTTTTTTGTTACACAGCTTCCGACGGGTGACTGCACAGCACCGGCCGTACTCTGCGGTGATACACCACCCCTAACCAGCAGAAGTCGATACACCACCCCTAACCAGCAGAAGTCGATACACCACCCCTAACCAGTAGAGGTCGATACACCACCCCTAACCAGCAGAAGTCGATACACCACCCCTAACCAGCAGAGGTTAACCCCGTACAAGTGAGTAAGAGCCGAGACAAAAGCGTGCTCAGCCCAGCTTTCCATTAGTTCCCACTGCCATTTTTCATCTCGGGCATTTCCGTATAAGTTTGTGGTCGTTTGAGTGACTTCACCAAAACCAGCAGGAGGCAGAGCATGCCCCAACTACAACACTGTTGTTCCACCTGAGCTTGCACCACGCAGAGCGGGCAGGAACGCAAGCACAGCGCAGGAGGCGCTCAGGCAGAGTCCGAGGGGTTTTCTCCCACCTCCCGCTCAGCACACTTCCACGCAGCACCCAGCTAACAACAACAGTGCAATTCCACGCGGTAATTCGGTAGCATTGCGAGCTTATCAGAGGATGCAGGCTCATGAGAAAGCGACCAAGTGAGAACATATGTCCTATCAGTGGCAGTGCAAAAATCAGGCAACTCAAACAGAGGCGAGTTGCTTCCTTCCCTTCAAAGCGCTGCTCTATAAATGTAAACTCTGCCCAGCAGCTTACAGCCTAGTAAATGAATCACTTTAATTGAATGCTATGTACACAGCAACTGGAAAAACACAAGCAATAAGAAAAACATATGGTGATGGCAACAGAAATTGGTTTACTCATTCTGTACAGTGGTGTTCCTTTACTTCTTTCATAATTGACCTTTAGAACGATAAATGTGTAAAATAATTTTGGTTTATTATGGCTCCAAACCTTTAAGCAATTACACAAAATGAAAATTTAAAAGGAAGTATTCATTCTGGAAGCATTTCCATTGTTTACATAATTGCACAGCTATAATTTAGTGTTCGCGTTTTTAAAGAAAAGTGAAAAAAGGACCATTATGGACTATTTCAATTCCAAATGATGCTCTGTAGTGTTAAAAACAGGGAGGAGAGGAGAGGAGGGGGCCATCACATGCGTGTCCTTCTCCAATGCATTAACCCTACAAATGGCATAATATTTCAGCACACGTTAATCAAGTAATCCAAATAACAAGGTCATAAACATCCACTGAGGAAGTGAAAAAAATTTATGCAAGTTCACTGAAAGGTCAATTACAGAAATATTCTTCACCTAATTTTTGTTCAGGCTTTTGCAGATTACAGGTGTAACCAAATAGCCTGCCATCTGCCTTCAGCACATTTTCAATTGGCCCTCAACAGGAACAACATGGATTTTTCACTTAAAGTTCACTCTGTTCTTCACTGAGAGGCACCTCATTAGGGGCTGAAATTTACAGCATGGAAAGATTATTAATTTACACAAGACTTAAGTGGCAAATCCTTCATTTTCCTTTCTTATTTTAAAGGAACAAGCATTTCCATTTACTCGCTCCAAGTTTTCCTAGCTATGACTACATTTTACCTAAGAGTTAACTTCTCAAGTTAGGTTCCAATAAAAATTTATGAAGTATTTTGACACCCTTAGAAAGCACAGGATTAGCTTTTCAGAAAAATCCATTTCAATCTGTCATTTAAATCTAACCTCCAAAAAAAGTTGTATTTGCCGAAGTATCTCATGGCCAGAGTGCAACAGGGAGAGAGATTGGAAACCCGAGTAACGTCGCGTTTTGTAAAACATAGGTAAGGTTATTCACGAGTGCTGAAGATGACAGATTACCGCGCAAGTCACCCGCTGCTAACTGCGCCTTCCTCTCTCAACTACCATAGAGCGCTCTCTTTTACAGTCGTATTAACAACAGAAACCTCTCCCGAAGCCCCTGTGCGACGGCCAGGTGCTCGGGTCCCCTACACCAAAGGGATCAGACAAACACACCGAGTGAACGGCGATTCTGAAGTTTCTCCCCCTTTAGAGCATGTTTGATATTTTCACAGCCCAGGAGACCGCTGGGATTACGGATACACTTCAAATTGGAAGAAACACTTCGAGTCCATGCACACTGAGAGGGGACTATCCGAATGCCCAGGTGCTGCAGGCACAGAGGTACGGGTGCTGAGAACACAGTCACTAGTCCCTGGCGCTGCCTGAAACGTCGAGACGACTTCGTGGGGGATTTTGGGCAACTCTGTCGCACAAATGTGGATTTTTGTGCTGACTTTTATGGATTTCTCCCAGATGCATGTGGCAGGACCGCTTGGAAGCCTCTGATTGTAAGGAACCAAGCTGGCCGTGCTTAAAAGATAAAAGTAACAGCTAAGCAAGAAGTTGAAGTAAAACACGTCCGAAGCAGAGGAGTACAATCACACACAGAGGGAAAAGGAGGGATCCTGAAGACGCAGCCCAGTTGAGATAAGCAGAGGGAAAGGGGGAAGCCACGCAGGGAGCTAAGGATGACGAGTGATGGAACAGCGTTGCATTGCAGGGGCACATTGATGAGGAACCTTACTTCGGGAGATCCCCAAGCTACAATGATGGCTGGAGAGGCAGAAGAAAAGGTGGAAGCAAAAGGGAAGGGAGAGAGATGTTGCCTCCGTTTCAAAAACTCTATTTCTGTTCTGGACAGAGTTCAGAAAATCCACGCAAAGGAGCTTACAAGCAGCGGGCACCCCGGCTTGCATTTACCACTGGGAGTACAGAGGAGACAGACCGGACACCGACTATGAAACAGAAATGTGGGAGGGATGGAAG